AGAGAGAGAGAGAGAGAGAGAGAGAGAGAGAGAGAGAGAGTCAGTGTGAGAATAAAAAATTATGCTACTTAATTGTGAGCATATGGTTAATTTAAGTTCTAATTAAATGAGGTAATTGAGTATTTTAAATTTAATTAAACATTATTTTATTAACATAAATGATATAAATTTTTTTAATACAAGTTTTAAAACTACTATTATTGGCGTCTTTCGAGTGCTCTGGAGTTTACATACGCTAACTTATTTTTGACTCCCCCAAAATCAAGACAGCCCTTAATATAAAGGCATGAGTAATGACGAAAGGGCTGACGAAAAATAAGTGATAATAAGTGATTTTAGGGGGAGTTAGCGAATGACTGCTCTGGACTCCAGAGTCTGGAGTCAGGTGGATAGTATATAGCATTTATATGCTATGCGTGTATATATACTATAATTCCTATAGTTAAAAGTCCTATAATTAAAAGTCCTGAAGTTATATTCTGTTTGATATATTCTGTTATATTATAAACTAAATTATTCTTGCTTATTTTTGATATAAAGTACACACTTAAAAATTATAAACTTTTTACAACAGAAAAATGAAACATTATTTTTAATGATATAACATATAAAAAAATATGTAACTGTGAAATATCTGAAGCGAACGGTGGGCTTCAATGAATGAAATATAGACTCAATTTGTACGACAAAACGATTTTATTTACATATAGTGTACAAAAGGTCTTATAGTGTACGACAGGCGTATGAGCGCTGCCGGAGTAACACATAGATGTTGACTGAACGGGTGTCAGGCGTGTACTGATGGGTGCGGGCTCTCGATGTCTCGATTATAGGACTTTAGGCGCGTATACTTGTGCTCATGCGCGCGATATACTGTCATAGAGTTTACGTGTGGGGGAAAGCATTGCTCACTTTCCCTCATTGTACTGATGGGTGCGGGCTCTCGATGTCTCGATTATAGGACTTTAGGCGCGTATACTTGTGCTCATGCGCGCGATATACTGTCATAGAGTTTACGTGTGGGGGAAAGCATTGCTCACTTTCCCTCATATCTGATAACTTATGGTAAGTTATTGTAAATTTAGCGTTTTGTACATATTTATCATACATTCGTCCCTTTAATATACCAAACAATTGAGGGTTTAATTAAAATTCAATCAAATTTTACTGTACATTAAATATGAGCGCCTTTTGTGTCGACCAATCAATTGGTGAGCACTTAAGGGAGGATTGAATTGAATGCCATTTGAGAGCCATTTGTTGAGAAAAAGTGTCAAAACTAATGCTTTGATATGAGTTTAGTTGAAGAGTTGGCCGTAAATGGCATTACTTGTGATCCAATGCAGGCATTCATGCATTGCCTGCCATTCAGTCACTCATTGATAACAATCACAACAATAATCAATACTTATTGTCAACAATTGAGTGACAATTTAGCCATTGTTTTAGCGATTGAATGGTTAAGTGATCTGAAGAGGAATGGCTGACAGGACTGCAATCAGAGCAGAGTTGGAGAAAAAGAAACTAAAATTACAGCAATTGAAGGACGAAAAGGAGAGACGAAAGAGAGAGAAACAAAGCCAAGAGTCGGCCGAACGCACCGATGGACTCGTTTCGCAACGAAATATCGAAGAAGTGGATCAACTGCTCAGAGATGTCGGCATCGATCCCACCAATAGTGGTAATGATGTCAATCACATGATCTTATGGTCATTGTTTAAATCCACCGCTTGTTTGACAGATAACTCGCTGTCGAGTAAACCAATGGCCGACACGAGTCACTCCTCGCCGGGCAAAGACAGTCTTCCGTCGGCGACCACTCACTCGTCGGCTGTCGAGCCGAAGAACTTTTCGATCGTTAATCTAAACCAGACGTCGATTGCGCCCAAAGAGAGCGTTACGTATGAAAAGCAAACGCAAACTATAGGCGGAAACAACGAAAGAGGAGGTAATTTGACCGCCGATTGTCTTTAAATACTGATCCATATCTATATCTCTCTAACACTGACTCTATCTGTAAATCTGTTTCACTAAAACCACTAAACAAAGCGTCGTTTGATTCTCCGTATGGAAATCAAAAGTCCAAAAAAGGTTTCTTTCATTTTATTCAATAATTATTAATGAAATGATTATAATTTGCATTCAATTAACTAATGATGTGTTTGTTTTTTCCTTGTTTTTTGTTGTCTGAATAGGCGGTCCACTCGACTATTACGGTATGTTTTAATTGATTGTTTGTAATAATGACTGAAATAACAAAATTAAACACAACTCTAATAATTGATTGATTATAAAACAAACGCCAAACCATTGCTTTGCTTCCGAAAACACACACACTATTGATATATTAATTACTAAAAAACCGATAAACCGATTGAAAAAATGATTGTCTAATTTCACTCTCTTTTCACACTCTCTTAACTCTAACACCAAAAGTGATACATTGGGACGAAGGTATGAACGCCTTTGATTTTGAGTCTATCATTAACTCCAAAACCTATATTTAGACCAAAACTTATAAACAATTTGTTGAAGAATTTTTGATTTATGATTAGATTAGATGAGAGAGAATATAATGTAAATGATAACGAGATGTGGTGTCCATTTGTCCCATACTTTTACAATATTTTTCTTTTTTTCTTCCGTTTTACGATTCATTCATTCAAATAATTTCGTGTCATTAAAAAAAGATAATTTTCATGTCTTAGAATGGGATGACGAGTTCCAAGGTATGTGTCCGCTCTTCCATTCGCTCTTTCCCTCCGCTTTCAAACACACTTTCGGTTCTCTTTTCGGTTATCCTCTTCTTGTTGTTTGTGTCGACTCTTTGCATGTTTTGCACACATTTTTTCTCCGTTTGTTTTTTTGGTTTTCTCCTATGAAATGAGTTTTAGGTCTCAATTAAACCTATGATTTAAATGAATGGAAGGAAGCGTTTTGTTATGATTTCAGTATATATTTATCGGATATTAAACGGGTTTTTAAATCGTGTATTCATTTGTTTTGTTTCAGTTCTTACTTATGATGATAACGAAGATGAAGGCGACGGCTCTCTGTTTGGCTCTTACAACAAGTCGTCAATGCATCCGCACTTACCGAACGTGGAAATGGTTAGACCCGCGCAAACACATCAGGAATTGGCCAAAGAAGAAGACAAAGCGAAGGTTAAGAGAGAGTATAGCGACGAAGAGAAGCGACACATTATGATGAGTGAAGAGTTCAAAAAGTTTATCGATCGAGCCGTTAGAATCACCGAAAGGGCCCTCTATTATAACGAACCCTCGGATATATTCATTGACTATACGGGCACTCGTGAGGAACTCGAAAGGTATGACTGANGTGAAGAGTTCAAAAAGTTTATCGATCGAGCCGTTAGAATCACCGAAAGGGCCCTCTATTATAACGAACCCTCGGATATATTCATTGACTATACGGGCACTCGTGAGGAACTCGAAAGGTATGACTGAGTCCTAATTAAATGACTGTTTTTTGAGTGAAATCTAATTGTTGTGTCATTGGTTTACAGCGAAGACAAGAGTGGAAATCGTTTAGTATTTAATCGTTGTTTTTACGACGAGCGGTGGTGTAAGAACCGGACCATCACTTCATTTGATTGGTCGACTCAATACCCGGAATTATTGGTGGCCTCTTATAATAACAATGAGGACAATCCTAACGAACCGGACGGTGTGTGCCTTATATGGAATATGAAGTTTAAAAAGTCGAGCCCTGAATACATATTCCACTGCCAGTCGCCGGTTATGTCCGTGTGTTTCGCCAAATTTCATCCCAATCTAATACTCGGCGGCACTTATTCCGGACAAATAGTCTTGTGGGACAACCGCTCCAATAAGCGGACGCCTGTCCAACGGAGTCCACTGTCGGCCTCAGCGCATACACACCCCGTTTATTGCATTCAAGTGGTCGGAACTCCGAACTCGCATAACGTGATCAGTGTGTCCACCGATGGAAAGCTTTGTTCGTGGAGTTTAGACATGTTATCACAACCTCAAGACACGATGGAATTGAGTCAACAGAAACAGTCGCGACCGGTGGCCGTCTCCTCCATGTCTTTCCCTTTCGGCGATTACAATAACTTTATAATTGGTAGCGAAGAGGGATCGGTGTATACGGCGTGTCGTCACGGGACCAAAGCTGGCATTTTGGATGTGTTTGAGGGCCATCAGGGACCCGTCACTGGCGTCGACTGTCATTCCGCTCACTCGCAGATTGACTTTTCCCATCTATTTCTCACTTCATCTTTTGATTGGACACTAAAGTTATGGTCGACTAAAGAGAGTAAACCTTTGTATTCGTTTGAAGACAATTGTGATTATTTATATGATGTGCGATGGAGTCCAACACATCCCGCACTCTTTGCCAGTGTTGATGGAATGGGAAGAATAGACTTATGGAATCTGAATAACGACACAGAATTGCCCACCGCTTCCACTATTGTCGACGGGAATCCAGCCCTCAATCGCATCGTTTGGAACAATTCTGGGAATCAAGTGGTCG